CAAGAGGACAGAGTGACTGTCCGAGTTGGGAAGTGCTCAGCCCTCCCCCCCCAGCACTGGCTGTCCCCCACAGTGCCTGCAGCACTGACCTGAATCACGGCATCCAGCCCCAGGAATGGCTGCCTGGGGACAGCTCCATCGCTGGGATCGCTGGGAGCTGAAGTCATCGCTGAAGGAGCCTCCATGATGGGTACTTTAGGGCCTTCCTGCGGGATGCCTGGCCACACCTGCAAGGCCCCTGCTCCGCTGTCCGGTCCTCTTGAATGCACCACTGTCCAGTGCTCTTGAATGAGGTGTGCTTGGCAGCACTCAGGGAATACCAGCCAACTGGGCCCAGGGTGTTGTCCTGGCAGGCCCAACGCTGAAGCTTGTTGTCCTGGAAATAAGAGCGCAGAGCTAGTTGCCATGGGCACCAGGAAACGCTGTTGGCTGAAGCTGTCTCTTGGGAGACCAAAAGACGCTCTGTGGAACAGTCCACCTGATTGGGCACATCTTGGGTGGGGGACGAGGGGCAGAGTCATAGCTACCTTGACACTGAAAGGGAGTATCGCAGGGCAGGCAGCCTGCTGGTGCAATCCTGCTCTGCACTCTGCCTTTGGGGTGCTAGTGAGTACAGACTAAAGTGGGCAGGGGTGGTGGTTTGCTCTGGGAGCCCCTCTAGAACTGGGCATTGCCTGCAGGGTGACTTCACCGTGAGAAGTGCATTACCTATTTGCCATGTGATGTCATTTCCCTAAAGCTCCTGAAGGTCAAGGACCCCCCCCCGCCCCCCCGAGAAGGACTGGTGGTGGGGGAGGGGTGGGCCGCTCAGTGTTGGGAAGCCCTCTACAGAGACCACTTGGGGTAGGGTCAGGGCAGATCCAGGATGAGGGCAGGGTCTAGGATGGAGGTGGGAGGAGGGGAGGCAAGGGTCAATGTCCACAGTCAGCTGGGACCTGGGGGGTCACCTCAAGCCCACTTGGACTGTGCCCCAGCTGGGGACAGTGGCCAGAGGAGGGGCCTCATAGAGAGGAGTGTTAACCTCAGTCCCGACCCACTCTAGTCACCCATCATCCTTGCCAGTAGTGTTCCTCCTCAACCACAGAGGGGTCTGAGGGAGATTGGGGGGTCCCACAACCCTGAAGTGTCCATCTGTGCTCCCCTAGCCCTAGGGTCCAGCCGGATCCCCCAATCATGAGAGGACTACCTTAGATGGAGACCAGCTTTGCCCCAGGGAGTGTCCAGCATCACCCAGCCCTTCCCTGTGGCAGTCACCTCTCCCTTGCCTGTGGCCCTCTGCCTGGTACTGCCTGGTGCTGTCCCTCCCTCACAGCAGTCCCTGCAGGCTTGGTCACTCTGTCTGATCCAGAACCAAGCATCACCCACAGTGGTTGGACCTTTAGCTTCTGGGCACCTTAAGCCTGCCCCTCCCCCACTGCCCCACGTCTAGGACTTGGGCACCTGTGAAGGGGAGTGGCTTGGCTGAACAGTGACCAGCCCCACCTGCTGGTCTCACTTCCCATGCTACTTGCAGACCACTCCCTCAAGCCTCCCTGGACAAGGAGAAACATGACACCAAAGGGAGATTCTTCCTCTGTGAAAAGCCTTGACTCACAGCTGTCACCCAGCCTTGCTCCTGTAGGCAGATGGACCTTGGGTTCAAAGCCAGGGCAGCTTCTAGGAAGGGAGGGGCACAATGGACTTTGGGACCCTCAGTCGCACCAAGCTCTCTGCCCTCCACCACCTAGCCACCTGTCCAGCCCTCAGGCTGTCTGTGCCTGGTCTACCCACTAGGGATCGGACCACCTCACAGCATTGTCCTGGCTGCTGAGGGACTCATCCCTCAGGTCACTACTGTCCAGCCCTCAGGCCTTGTGTCCGCCCTGTCTGTCCTGGGATCTGACTGCCTTATTATGCGTCAGTCTTTGTCTTCTGAGTAAATGATCCTTCCTGGCCACTGCCTGTCCTGCCTGTTCCCACAGACAGTGGGTGACTCTTGGCCTTTGGGTTACCTGTCTTCAGGGTGGCTGCTGTCTGTGTCCACCCTGTCTGCCCTGGGATCTGATTGTCTCTGGTCACTGCCTGTCCCCACAGTCAGCCTTGAGGGGAGGCCTGTGTGTAGGCACTGCTGTGTCTGACAAGGGTTTGGGCTCTCTGGACTCCTCTGGAGGCTATGCCCCTGAAGGTGCTGGACAGGAGTATTCCTGGACACCACTGTGGCTTCCGTGGCCCTCTGTGTGCTCACTACAGGACCACAGTGGAGTCCTCTCATGGGCAGATGGGAGGGTCACACTTGGGACACAGCAGCCGGCAAGGATACTTCCAGTGGCTCCTGGGCTGTAGGTTGGGGAGAAACCTCACCCTCCTCTTGGGGCTTTGCTCCCAGAGCCTCTGTGACCCAGTCAGAGGGCCCCAAGGTGGCTGCCAGCCTTTCAGACTGAGAGGCTGGGGTTGACTCATGGAACCACTCAGGGACTGTGGGTGGCTTTTGGAGAGGGGTGGCCCACAGGACCCTATCCACTCCTGCTCCTGTGGGGTGAGCCCAGCTTTTCCCCATGTGGGGTGCTACAAGCCCCCAGTCACACGGTAAGCTCAGGTGTCTCCGAGTGAGGTCTCTGTCAGCAGACCAGGTGGCCCTCCACAGCTCAAAGATGCTAATTCCACCCAGACCACTGGGTCTCTGTCCTCCAGCAAGGCTTCTGGACCACATTTGAGGTTTATTCTAATGACCTCTTGAGAAAGGTTCCCCCAAGGGGAATCCCCACCCTCTGAGGAGGGGAGCGGATTCCATCACTTACATCTGTGATTCCAGATGTGGTGACTCCAGGTGCGTCAGCAGACCGTGCCCACAGGCAGTCAGTGACGGAGTCCTCAGCCCTGGCTGGTCAGGCCTGTTTCCCCAGGAGCTCAAGGTGTACTTGAGCCAGTGGAGCTTATCTAGCCCTTGCACCCTCTGGGGACTCCACTCAGCTAGGGTTCTGGGCTCATCAGATGGAGTAATCCTCCTGGCAGGTGACAATGCTTTCTGGAACTCGGAAGCTCTGTGCTGGGAACCCTCCCTGGCCTCACCCTCTGTCTCTGTGTCACCCTGTGGTCTTCTGTATCCATTTGTGTGACAAAGCTGTCATCATCAGTGCAGTGCATTCCTGACATCTGACCTCCCACGAGAATCATCCACCTGAAGGAGGGGGGAGACTGCAGGGTAGCAGTGGGAGGGACTGGCCCCTGAGCTCATGGCAGGCAACCGAGAGGGAGAGGGACCCCACGTGCTAGCCAGCAGGTGAGAAGTTCAGGGGAGAAGGGATTCCCAAGCTTGCTCTGTCTGAGGTCTGGGGCTGACTCCACAGGTGTTGGACTGGGTGGTGAAGATGTGGGGCTCCTGGGGTGCCTGATTAGGGAGCAATGGGGAGGCATATGGAATAGGGTGGGAGCTTGGCTGAAGGTCTGAGTGTCCTGCCTAGGAGAGTGAGAGTGGGGCCAGGGGTGTGGGGGACTCCAGAAAACCTAGATAGAATTGCAGGAGTCAGGTACCCGGCCCCCTTGGATGAACCAGGGCCCCAAGGAACCAGATGTATGGAGTCCACCTTCCTGGGTCTCACACCTGAAACCCATGCTCAGCTTCACAAGAGGAGCTTCCACGCTGAGCACTGCCAAGGGGGACAGGCTCACGGGCCCCTCAGGACTGTCCACAGCTCCCACGAGGGGAAGTGATGGCCCCGCATACCCTTGTGCAGGCCCTAGGCCCCTGGAGACAGAGGCCACACTGTGTTCAGGAGCGTTGGTGGCGAGGCCCTGAAGACAGGGAGGTCAGGCCACAGGAGGGAAGGTGACTGACTGGCTGTCGCTGGTGAGGGAGGGATGAGCTCCCCTTCCCGGATGACACCGCACCTCCAGGCTCAGGTGCTGCGTTGGTGGAGCTGGTGCCCCCCCCCCCCAGGGCTGTAAGCAGGGCCAGTTTCCAGGGGCGGGGCGTCTCTGAGGCACCTGCCTGGGGGGCCACCTGTGCCCTGTTTACAGCTTCCGTGGCTGAGCAACGGTGAGGCCAAGGGTCATGGGCTGGGACTTGTGGTGCCCTGAGCTGGCTGGTGGGTGGGCACAGTGCCCAGCATGGGGAGGGGTGCTCTGGAGCCCGCGAGGCGGGGCGCTGAGACCAGCTCCGCCTGCGCCAGAGGCGTCAGCTCCAGGCTCCAGTGGGTCTCGGCTCCCGAAGGCCCACAGCTGGGGGTGGGGGCAGGGAGGCCTGGTGCAGAGGAGGCCAGGGGGCTGGCCGCCTTCTTGGCAGTGGCCCAGGACCTAGACAGGCCCTACTCTGGGGTTCCGTCTCGGATGCAGCCGCAGCTTTTCAGCCAAGGCGGGCTTTGAGGGGAGATGGGCCGAGTGGTTCCACTTGCTCCGCCGCTTAACCCCCTGCCTGACTCCCCGCTTCTCAGGCTACTTGGAGGGACCGTCCGCTTCGGGAGAAGCCGCCTCCTGCCTCACCTTCGCTATCGGAGCGATGGGCGAGCAGCGTGTTTCCGTCCACCTCGCGGGATGGAGGCTGCTTGGACCCCACGACACAGAGCCCCGCTTCAGGGGACACGAGGGAGGACTTCCGCTGGCTCCAAGGGCAGTCCCACGGAGGATGGACCTGGGAGGGAGGGCCCCGGAGGTCCTTTTGGAGTGGAGGGCGCAGTGTGGTGCCAGGAGAGGAGGGAGGGGCCTGGTCATGGAGGCTGTGACGTTCCCAATTGCTGGGGACTGACTCACCCTCTTCAAAGGCCGGGCCCGCTCAGCTATTTAGCCGCCCGCCCTCCCCTCCCGCGCCCACACCTGGACCTGGTCCGCGCAGCCGCTGCTGCAGCCCCGCTCGCACCGGCGCGCCTCGTCCGCCCACCTGCCCTCTCCAAGGTTCGCCCTTTCCAGGGTTTGTCCACTGGTTCCTGCCTGCAGGTGCGCCTCGGTCCGCCCGCCTGCGCACACCCTGAGTCTGCTCGTCCGCCTCCACCTGCCGCTCCCGCTGTGCGGAGCGCCCTCCCGGCGCCATGGCCGTGCAGCTGCCCCTCTGGCACCACTACCTGCAGGCGGTGCAGTCCCGCGCGGCGCCCCGGGCCCAGGACTTCCAGCGTGCGGAGGACGTGGTGCTCACGGTGCTGGAGCACGTGCACGCCATGGACCCCCGCTTTCTCGTCGACTATTCTCGCGACCTGGGGGCCTTCCAATTCGCGCTACGCTCCTCCGAGGAGCCAGTGCACCTGGAGGTGCCCCTGGGGCTGGATGCTGAGGCGCTCCTGATTGAGGAGCCGGCCAGTATGCAGCCTGCCGATGGCCCCGCGAGCTGCCGCCTGGGCGTCCCCACGGAAGGCGCAGGCCTGGAGCGGTGGACTTCGGAAGACGTCTTCAGTGCCTCCCCAGAGAGCGACGCTGACTCCCAGTGCTGTGGCCACATTGCGCCCAGCAAGGTCCTGAGCGTCCTCCGGGACCTCCTGGTGGCGGCCATCGTGCACTGCAAGCATCACAATGTCATTGCTCCAGGTAGCGGGGCCTCTTGCGTGCCTGTGTCTGTGCGCACGCCTGTGTGATCGCAGTGTGAGGGTGACTGCTCAGAACCGGTGCGGTACACGAGTGCTGAAGATGTTCGTGTTTATGCGTGTGTATGTGTGCACAGGGTTGGGTAGTTCGGGGTACACACCTGCGTACAGGTGTGTGTGGTCCTTGTGTCTGCGCACAGGCTGGGAGAGCTCGGGGTACGTGCCTGGGTGGACATGTGTGTGGTCATTGTGTGTGCGCACAGGCTGGGAGAGCTCGGGGTACATGCCTGGGTGCACGTGTGTGTGCACAAGGCTGGAGAGCGTGGGGTACATGCCTGGGTGCACATTAGTAGGGAGACATCCTTCTGAATACTCCCAGCTCTATATACATCTGACGTAAGTGATGCCTTTTATGAATATAATTCTCACATAGTGATTTTGGGGATAAAAATCTAATGGGGATGACTTTTTAAACAAGGAACTTCATGGCCAGTGCTCTGGTTTCCAGCTGGTTTCCTTGACGAGGTCCTTGGCACGGCTCTGCACAGGGGAATGTCTATCCAGTCACAGCCCACAACTACCTCCTCACCTCTGGTCACAGCCCAGTGCTCCCATTCTGACATGTGACCCCACTTCTGCAGCTGGTCACTTTGTCCTGGGTTGAGGAGACAGTGTGCACATGTGGGGGTGAATATGTGTATGTATGTGGTCATGCACACACGTGTAGCAGGTATGAGCTTGTGCATATGAATAAATATGTGTGAGTGAGTGCATATCTGCTTCCCCCGGTGGTCACTCTGCTGATTGTGTGTGGGTGCAGAGTAAGCCCAGGGCTGGGGGCTTTGCCTTGACCCCTCCCCCCAGGCCCTGCTGATGTGACTGGGGTGGAGGTGTCCTGGGACGGCAGAGCTTCTGCAGAAGAGCTATTGTGCAGGGCCTGCACAGTGCGGACCTGGGTGGTGACAGGGCTGAGATGGTAGACTGTCCTGGCAGGACCTGGGAACACAGGGGGTGTCTGCATCCCTTAGAGGGGCCCCGCATATGCTAGCTGCCGCTCTGCCCGAGGGTTTGTTGCCTCCAGTAGCAGGCATCTGCCCTGGCATTGGCTCACCTGAGGCTCCAGCATCTGAGGCTGCTTAGCACTCGCAGGTGTCTCCTGCCCAGGGCTCCCTGAGCTGGCGTCAGGCTGCCAGTGGCACAGGGTTGAGGCCTCAGTCAGCTGGACCCCAGGACTGCTCTCTCCTCCTGCGCATGTCCTGGGGGTGGGTGTCAGGCACAGCTCTGGGACACCTGGCTGGAATGCTGAGGGGGACTGAGAAGATCTTCTGTCTTCCGGGCACCCATCAGTAGCAGGACCCCTGGATCCAGGAATCACCCTTGGCTGCACTCCTGTGGCGGTGGCCAGGACACCTGCATAGCCATAAGACACCTGCCTTGGGCCAGGTGCCAGGTCCCCCAGGGCATAATGAGCAGTCCGAAGGACAACAGGTCTGTCATTAGGTGTCTGGCTCTTGCCCCCATGGCCCCCTGTGCCGCGGCACCTTGTCTGGTCATCTTCTGAGCCTGTAATTAATGCTGGTGGCCAGGCAGGACTGTGTCTACAGTCTGTCTTCCCACCTAGCTGTGTTCCCAGTGGAACCACACAGCCTAGAGACATAGCCACCTGGAGACAAAGGCACCTCTCCACTTGGGGACAAATCCACCTGGGGCAGGTCCGCCCCCACACCTGGGGACAGGACTACTGTTGGGGTGAGCATCTAGTGCCATCCAGTCTGCCAGTGCCCCTCTCCACTCCAGCCCCTCTCATTCTGAGAGATGCACACTGGCAGCCAGGAAACCATGCTGAGTGTGTGGAAATTCCCCACATTGTTCCTGACTGACATGGGGCTCAGAGGGAGGCATTAGCCACGGGAACGGGCTCAGGCTGTTCTGCCAGGTGAGGCCAAGGGCACCACCCCTGGACTGAGCAGAGGTGATGGTGGCTAGGAGAGGACATGGTCTTGGGAAGGCAGGAGTATCAGGTGCCCAGTATGGGGTCCCCTACCCTTCCACTGAGGGCAAGTTCACTGAAGAGGTGCTGGAGCCTCTCAGCTGTCAAGCACTGGTCCTAAGAGGGCAGGTCAAACTTCTGACTATGCGGCACAAGGTGGCCCAGCATCAAGGAGTATCTGCAAGGGGCTGCTGCTTGCCACCAGCTTCTGGGAGTGTAGATTCCAAAGTGCAGCAGGGCTGAGGACCCCTGATGTTGGGGGGCAGTTGGGCACCTCCAGCCTTAGGGATTGTGGACCCTCTGGCAGGGCTGAGGGCACATTCATGTTGGGGCACAGCTGGGCACCTCCAGCATCTGGGAGCATGGGCCCTGCCCTCCAGTAGGTCTGAGGGCCCTTTAGTGTGCAGAGGGCAGAGACTGGGGGTCCTGCCACTCCTTGGTTCTTCCCTAGGAGGTCCTTCCTGTGGTCACCACAGTGGTGGCCTCACATCCCAGCCCCCAGGCAGGAAGGAGACACACAACATGCAGAGTGAGGACTCCCTGAGCCTGGCTGGGTCCTGGGGCCACATGGTTACCAGGGTTTCAGTGGCTCCTGGGTCTTGGGTCAGGGATGAACTCTAGGCAATACTAGCTGTCCCCCCAACTGAAGCCCCCAGACACTGCCCAGCACTTTGTGCTGATGAGCTATTCTGCTTCCAGGGCTCTGGGTTGAGACCGTCTGGGAAATGCCCTGATCGCTGTGGGCAGGAGGACTACTCAACATTGCGGGCTGCGCAGATGGACACAGTGATTTAAGAAGGGACATTCTGGTGACATAAGTGTACACTCATGTGTGAGAGAAATTCCAGTCAGTGCTTTGAGTGAAGGGGCCATGTTTAGTGGAATATGGAGGGCACAGCCCTGCCCATCCTCTGAGGCTATGTCCAGCCCACCTCAGGTGGAGAAGGCAAGGCCATGTAGAAGAGGGGCCAAGAAGGCAGAAGTGTGACAGGCACAGGTGCTGGCAAAGCCCATCCACACCCACCCACAGAGCTGCTCCTCCTTACCTGTGACCTCAGGGACCTTGACTGCCCTGAGGGGCCTGCCTCACCAGAGTGTGAGGAATGTGACCAGACCCGAAGGGGCGTTCCCACTTGGTCTCTGCCCAGAACCCAGACACTCAGGTGCATAAGTGCTTTTCCCAGCCTCTCAGGGCCACTCAGAGGGCATAGTGGGTGCTAGGTAGGCTGAGTGGGGGCCATGCAGTATGTCCAGGCAGGATGGAGTGGTGCCACTTGGCTCAGCTGGGGAGAGTGGCACTTGAGGAGGGGCAGAGGCCTGGGTGGGGACCACGTTTGTCTTGCTGGGAGACAGGCTTCCTTATGGGCAGGGGACTGAGAATAAGTGACACCAGTAATTTCTCAGGCTGCCACCGAGGGTGGGACCTCCTCAGGGGGGACACAGGTGTTCATGGAGGGAGGAGACAGGTGTGAAGGGGGAGGACAGGAGTGCAGCAAAGCAGGACAGAGGTGTGCAGGGAGGAAAGACTCCGGTGTGTATGGAGGGAGGACAGAGGTGGGGAGGAAGGGAGGATAGAAGTGAAAGGAAGGAGGACAGAGGTGGGGAGGGAGTGAAGACTCTGGTGTGCATGGAGAGAGGACAGAGGTGGGGAGCGGAGACACAGGCATAGAGGGAGGGAGGACATAAGTGTGGAGGGAGGGAAGACTCAGGTGTGGAGGGAGGGAGGATTCAGGTGTGTAGGGAGGGAGGACTCAGGTGTGTAGGGAGGGAGGACTCAGGTGTGTAGGGAGGGAGGACTCAGGTGTGTAGGGAGGGAGGACGTGCGTCCAGAGAGGTGGTGCAGGCACCCAGGCAGGAACAGAGGAGGGGAGGAGAGGTGCAGCTGTCTGCAGGTGGAGGCCTCCAGTGGAGGGCAGAGGGCTACAGGAAGCCATGCTCCATGTCCCGGTGGGAAAGGTTCAGTGTCTGCTCTGTGCAGGCTCCCTGAATGCGTCCAGCCTGCAGGAGGAGGAGCTCCACCTGTCCCTGCTGGTGTCCAGTGGCTGGAGGACAATCCGCTTCAATGTGGTGCCTGTGGTAAGAAGGAGACACAGGCTATCCACCCCCGAGTGGGCCTCGCTGGTGACCGGCTTCCCTGCGGGCAGTCTGGAGAGGATCCTGGGCCTGGGCGTGGACCTGGTGCCAGCCAGTGCCCAGCTCTGGAGGTAGGACAGGGCTCATGTGTTCAGTCTTTGGGTGATTAGGCTGTACCAGGGTTTCTCCTTGGGCAGGCCTGTGTGCCTGTGTGTCTGTGCCACCCACCCCTGGGCCAGCTGTATCCTAAGTAGATTGGGGTCCTGAGGATGAAGCCCCACAGGCCCAGCATTCCTCTACTCTGAAAAGGGAGGGAGGCCACCTGCCACTGAGCCCCTGAACAGGGGTGGATCATGAAAAGAGGAGTGGTAGACCCTGTGCCCAGAGACCCATGTCGAGAGGTACACTAGGAGGTCTCACACCCCCTCCCTTCCTCTCTGGGGGGAGAGCAGTGAGGAGGAAAGGACAGGCAGGGTCAGGTCCCTACAGGTCTCCTAGGTCAGGGGCATCCCAGAACCTCGCTCGGCCAACATTCACAGATGAGCATTCCCCTCTCCACGAGGGTCTCCCCATCTGAAGTGTTGGGGAAAGCTCCCCTGCCTCCTAGCCTGGAGCCAGCAGCCCCTCCTCTCTGTTCCTGAGGCCTGCCCACAGGGCAATGGGACCCCAGTGTCCAAGACAGAAAAGGGGCAGGGGGAGGGAAGGGAGGAACTGCGTCTGTGACTACCTTACTGTCTGTCCTGAGGGGGCCTGAGGGGGCATGAGGAGGTCTGACCTCTGCGGTCCCAGTGTCCTGAGGCCAGGAACCTGACCTTTCATCCCTAAGTTGGACTAGGCACAGGTGTGCCCCAGAGGTGGTGGAGTCCAATGTCACAGCTGCTGCTGGACCGAGTGGCCCTCATAGCAACGTAGGGCGTGGAGGACCCTGATGCCGGGGAGGCTCACTACAGCCTGTGTTTCAGGGTCTCCACTGACCACCTGCTGTCTCGGCTGCTGAGTGCTCTGGGCACGTTCCCTGGCCACCGCTTGGACGGACTTTGCATCCTGGACCGGGTCAACCACGACAGCTGGCGGGACGAGGGCCAGAGTGCAGGCCTGACCTTCCACCACCTGAAGGTGGGTATGCAGGCCACTCACCCAGCCCTGTGCCCTGCTTGTCCTGCAGGCTAGGGCTGAGAGACTGCCTCTCGCCCTCCTGGGTTGGGACTATGGAGGGCTGTGTGGTCCTCCTGTCAGCCCTCTGGGTTGGGCACTCACCTCCATCCACTCTCCTCTGCTCCTCCGCTCAGGGGTGGGGGTGTGGGGTTATGCGAGGGCACAGGGACAGGAAGGGTGATCTAGGCTCAGACTGGAGGGGCGGAGATGTCCAGGGCAGCCAGGGAAGGCACCCTGCAACTTTCAGAGGCTTGGCTGAGCTCCAGCATCCCCATGCACACAGACCAGGGCTGGGATGATGCCACCAGAAGGGCCTTTGGCCAGGCTGCAGGGGCAGGAGGAGCTCCCGGGAGGATGTGTGAAGAGCCACGTGGAGACTGGTGGGAGCTGAGAGCATAAGAGGCTGGGCAGCCGTGGTTGGACCGGCCTAGACTTGGGCTGCAGCGCATGAGGGGACGCGCAGGGGTAGAGAGACATCATCAGTCAGGCGGGGGTGCAGAGCCTAGGGCCAGGACAAGTGGGGAAGGGGCTAGACAAAGACTGAGGATGGGAAGGACAGGAGGCAGGGAGAAAGGTGCTGCCCAGGGTGTCCAAGGTGGGGTACAGATGGGCAGAGGTGGGGTGCAGACAGGTGGGTGGACATAGGGTACAGATAAAACATAGAGGGGTACAGCTGGGTAGAGGAGGGATACAGAGAGGTGGGGCAGGTGGGCAGAGATGGGGTATAGGTGGGGTACAGGTGGGTGGAGGTGAAGTGCAGATAGGTGGGTGAAGGTGAGTTGTAAGTGGGGTATAGGTGGGCAGGGGTGGGATGCAGACAGGTGGGTGGAGGTGGGGTACAGGTGGAACATAGGTGGGGTACAGGTGGGTGGAGGAGGGGTACAGAGAGGTGGGGGCAGGTGAGCAGAGGTGGGGTATAGGTGGGGTACAGGTGGGCAGGGGTAGAGTGCAGACAGGTGGGTGTAGATGGGGAGAAGTGGGGTTTAGGTGGGGTACACTGGGCAGGTGTCGGGTGTAGGTGGGGTACAGGTGGGCAGAGGCAGAGTGCAGAGAGGTGGGTGGAGGTGTGCAGAGGTGGGGTGTAGTTGGAGTGTAGGTGGGGTGCCAGTAGGTGGGGCAGGTGGGCAGAGGGGTGTGGGGGCACTAATACGGCCCTCGCTGACCGGCCCTTGCTGACCGGCCCTCGCTGACCGGCCCTCGCTGACCGGCCCTGGCCCCGCAGATGGTGCTGCTGTGGGCCTCGGTGTTCTTCCCAGCCCCTGAGGATTGGGCAGACCTGGAAGGTGCTGTGTACCGTCTGCTGGTGGTGCTGCTCTGCTGCCTGGCCACCAGGAACCTGCCGCACTTCCTGTGGCCGGGGCAGAATCTGCTGCGGTTCAGCGGCCTGGACCTGGGCGCCCTGTACCAGCGTGTGGAGCGCTTTGCCAGCCAGCCTGAGGCCTCACTGCGCATCCACGTCACTCACCTGGGCAGCAGCCCGCCCCCCCGCATCGACAATGGCATCAAGGCCCTGCTGCAGCTGCCTGCTAGTGACTCAGCCTACTGGGTCACTGCATACTTCGATGTCCTGCTGGACAAGGTGGGGGCTGCTGGTGGGGCCATGGGAGTCAGATCCCTCAGTGGGCAGAGCCTGGTCCAGCACCACACTGGTCTGGATGCCTTAGGTCAGGATGCTCTAGGCCTAGACCCCCATGGTCAGGAGGAACCCCAGACCAGGAGTCTCCTCCAGGTCAAGAGTCCCCCCAGATCAGGACCTCCATGGTCAAGAGTTGCCTCCAGGCCAGGACTCACATCATTAGGAATAACCTCTAGGTCCAGAATTGCCTAATCAAGACCTTCAGTCAGGAGTTCCCAGCTCAAGACCCCCACGGTCTTAGCAGACCTGGGCATCCTTAGGGGGTTGTGAAGGGTATGACAGTAGGAGGGACAGGGTCTCAGCAGACCTGGGCATCCTTGGAGTGTTGGGAGGGGGAGGAGGGGTGAAGGTTATTGGGGTATGGGTTTACAGGAGAGGTAGGCTCTTCTAAACCCGAGTGTTCTTGGGATGTTGGGGGAGGGCTGGGGGTTGGTGGCCCTGGCTGTGCCTTGGGGAGGGTTGATGGCTAGTAGGCCTTCAGTGGTCCTCTCAAGAGGTCACTCTGTCCTCAGGGGCCCCGACAGTGAGGAATGTCACTTCAGGAGAGGATCTGGTCTGAGTTTGGTCTACTGTGTGGAGAAAGGTCCGATGATCCTGAGATGGGATTCCAGGGTGGTGGGCACAAGTTGTCCTGCCCTGGGTCATTGATGAGGGGCAGGCTCTCAGCTGTCTCTGTCCCTTCTCTCCTGGCCACAGTTCCAGGTCTTCAATATCCAGGATAAAGACCGGATTGCAGCCATGCAGAGCATCTTCCGGAAGACCAAGGCCCTGGGCAGCGAGGAGAGCTGAGTAGAACCCCTGTACCTGCAGAACTCTAAGGGGCTCCAGGACACTTGAGGAAAGGCAGGATTTCACTTTGGGAAAGGGGGTGGGTGGTAGAGGGGACCTGACCCCGAGACCATGAGCAGGCTGCCCAGGGCATGGCCTCCTGATTGTCTGGGCACAGGACAGTGGATCCTCCCTGCTGTCACCTTGTCTGGGGGTAAAGGGACTCCTCCTGGGCTACCTGTGATGTCACATGAGGTGCCAGGTGGTCCCCAATGGTGACAGTCTCAAGACTGAAAAGCCAGTGCCCACCTGCCTTCTCACTGCACACCTGCAGATAACAGCAGAGACTTGATCTGAATAAACCTCAGCAGTGCACACACTCAGGTGGTGACCCCTCTGCATCTGCCTGGAAGTATTCTCACTTGGAGCCAGGTAGAAAAGGCTTGTGTGAAGACAGACCTGCCTCCTCCTCGGAGTTCTGACCAATCCACAGAAGGGGACATCCATAGCTTGTGCCAGTCTGCCTGTCCCTGCTTCCCTTCCCTGCTCAGTGCTGGCCTGACTGGTAGCTGGTCCTGTCTTCCCTCCTGCTGTGTTGGGAGGCCTGTCCTCTGGCATCCGGTGCTATCCCCTCCATCCATGTGCTCTTGACAGCCCCCCACTCCAGTGAGCAGCCTGTACATAAGGTCCACATGGCCCGGACTGTAATCCAGTAGACAGTTCTGGTCTCCATCTGCTCAGGCCTCTCTGTGACATCTCTCCTGACTTACAGGGCTCCTGGCACAGAGCCTGCAATGCCAGGAGATGCTCACAGCAGCAGCACCCCGAGCCTCGCAGGCCAAACAACTGTGGCCATGTGGCATCATAGCCACATACAAAGGGCATGCCTGGATTCTTGTGGGGTTGACTCAGAGCCTGAACTGAGGCTGGCACAGGGACACAAAAGCCATCAGGTTACTCTGTCTCTCCTTGGAGTGGGGCCTAGTGGAAATGAAAGTCTTGGTGCAAATCTGACCCATAAGCCTGCCTTCCTGTCATCTATTTTGGACCTGTTACTGTTGTTGTTAAGTGCAGTCCAATCCACTGCATCTCATAGCAATTCTGTGAATGAGTCAGAACCTTGCCCTATCCTGCACCTTTATCCCAGCTTCTCATGCTGCATTGTTAGTCACTGTCACTCCACCTTCTTGAAAGCGCTACATTGTTACAGTTACTGGGTCCATCTAGTCCCTTGAAGGTGCCACATTGTGACAGTAACTGTGTCACTCCACCTTCTTAAAGGCGGCTACATTGTAACAGTTACTGTCACTCCACCTCCTTGAAGGCGCTACATGTTATAGTTACTGGGTCAATCCACCTCCTTGAAAGCCCTACATTGTTACAGTTACTGGGTCAATCTACTCCCTTGAAGGCACTACATACTGTTGCTGTGTCACTCCACCTCCTCATTTCCTCTGACCCATCACCTTTCTCAGCACGAGGTCTTCTTCCATGGACTGGACCCTCCTGACCGCATGTCCGAAGTATGTGAGAGCGAGTTTCAGCGTCATCTAAGGAGCCTTCTGCTTGTACTTCCTCCAAGATAGACTGGCTTGGGTTTTGCCAGTGCCTAGGACCATCAGTCCTCTTTCCTAACAGGACAACCCACAGGCGTTGATTTTTCTTTGGTGTTCCTTACTCATTGTCCAAGTTCAGATGCATAGGAAGTAATAGGGACTGCCAGTCCCTGGAAAAGGACATCGTGCTTGGCAGAGGGCCACTGAAAGGAGTGAGACCTTGCTGGGCTGGGCTGGCATAGAGCCTGTGACATTGGGCTCAATCAGCAACTGGGAGGATGGTGTGGCAGGCCAGTGTGTGGCTGGGTTGTGTGTGGGGCCATCACAAGTTGGAGGCAACTAGATTACCCCTAACAACAACATGGGCATTTCACTGATGCAGAGAACACAGACATGGCCATGTTGTTGTGTACCACTGGTCAACCATGACTCAGAGCAGCCCTATGCAGAGCAGCTCTGAGCTGTGCCCTGTCCTGAGTCAGTCTCAAACTCACTGCTGTCGAGTTGGAACCCACAGAAACTGGTCCTCCAGCCAGGTTGCAAGCTGTAAATGGTCAGGTGGAGATTGTGCCACTTGCCCCAAGGGGCTGTGGCCTTGGGTTAGCCCCACAGCTCCTTAACGATGAGGCTGTCAGAGCTCAGGAATAGAAAAGGCTTGGTCCCAAAGGGAAGACCTTGAGACTGTCCGTCCATGCCAGAACCCCCCTCAGGGAGGCACCCAGCCCAGTGCTGCAGCATCGTGCAACTGCCACAGAGACTGGCCGGCCATCTGGTGGTGTGTGCATTCAGAAGCTTGACTGAGTGCTAACCAGAGTGGCAGGGCTTTTCCTGGGTGTGGATCTGTGTAGGACCAGCAGCCCTGCCCCGGATGTGGCTCTGTGGCCGCATGCTTTGCTGTTTCCATCAGCAGGAGGGTCAGAGGACGCCTTGCATCATTGGAACAGGTCACAACATACATTCACACTCTTACCCCAAGGGGTGCTAATCCCCTTGCTGTCCCCGCACAGGCTTCCGGGCACTGACTAGGCCTGGGAAGCATGTACTGTGTAACACTGTTGTGAAGGTGAGAGACACGTAACCAAAGTGGGAGCGGTGAGCTGCCTGACACTGGGAGCCAGTGACAAGGAAGAACGCGTCAGACTCCATGCCATGGGTGTGTCACACCTGGGAGATGAGGACAGGAGCTCTGTCCTCCCCAAAGCGAGGCACAGTCCTCAGTCCTGTGCCAGGGCTCTGTGTGCGAACAGGGGTTTGTTTTTTATGTTAAGGGACCAGAGCAGTGCAGTTTCCTGATCTTCCCACTTTCCAGGTACCAGGTGACCAGGGACCAGCCAGTGCAAAGGGAAGGCAGACAGACAAACAGCACGTGTGATCACCAAGGAGCCAGGGCGGCAGGAGCTGAGCCTGAGGACCCATCCCGAACTCGAGAGCCTTTCCCTAGAGCCAGCATCCTGACCTTAAACTTGTAGTCTCTGGAACTGTGGGGTAATGCATCTTTGTTCTTCAAAACACTGCTCTGGGGTGTACGTCAGGGCAGCTGAGCAGAGCTGCCTTGCCCACCTACAAGAACAAGGACGGAGGCTGCGTACTCCTCATGAAGGAGCGCCCAGTAAGTGGGAGGCTCGGAGGGCTGTTAGTTTTGTGTTGGCCCAGTATGTGAGTGGGCTCGAACCGACTCCTGCCACCACACACCATGGCTCTGTGGTAGCCATGGCAGAGAAAGCCATCCCCACAGTGTGCTGATCCCAGGGTTTCAGAGCAAGGCTGACCCTTAGGATAGAGCTATTTCTTGTTCAAAGGCAGCCTCTGGTATGACACTGAGCCCTTGGCCTGAGACACTGAGAGACTATTTGAGATGAGCCATCTATCATGACCTGGTGTCACAGGGTCACAAGGTCGAGAGCGGGAGGTGCAGCAGGCGACATGCTCCACGTCAAGCAGGTCAGACGTGGTATGAACCATGGCTGAGCTGCCTTCTGTCACATCTGGTGCCTCTCCCTCAAGTCACAGGCTAGCTGCCTAGGGCCAGACACCACAAACCCACAGAAATGTGACTCAAGGTCAGGAGCGTAAATAAAGCCAGAGAGAGCCAAGGTGAAGGAATCTGGGAAGACTGGAACCGGAGCTCAAAAGTAACTCTGAGGAAGGTGCTGAAAAGGACTCCAGAGGGTAGAAAGCACACAGGGAGAAGTGGAAACTGTAGATGCTTTGAAATATCGATGCTTGAAAGAATAAACAAGCAATACTAGAAGTGAAGCTTTTAGATGAGCTGGACAGGAGATTCTGAGCAGCAGGGGAGAAATCAGACACAGCTGAACACAGTCAATGACCAGGGGCTGACAGAGATGCAGAAGACGGGGCAAGGAGGGGCAGCCTGTTAGGGTGACTAAGATAGTATTGGAAATGGAAGAGACAAGGGAGCCAAAGAAATATTTGGAGGGATTATGACTGGCACCTTCAAAAACTGTCCAAAGGCACAGTGCGGTGTCAGCGGGGTTCACTTCTTACCATATCTAAGACCGAGGTGCACCTGATTCAAGCCATGCCCTTTTTTTAAAAAAAAATAAAATTCTTTTTTAAAAAATTAATGTTCAAGAAAGTTGCCATGTCATTTTTAATCATTTGCTCTGCATCTGAGAGCTGGACAATGACTGAAGATGCCAGAAGAGTTGATGCCATTGAGTTGTGGTGCAGGAGAAGAGTATTGAACGTTCCATGGGCTGACAAGAGAACAAAGAGGTCTGTGCTGGAGAGGGTGAAACCTGCCTGCTCCTTGGAGGCAAAGATGGTAAAACTCTGTCTCATACTGTGGACATGTTGTCTGGAGGGACCACTCCATACTTATAAAGGTGGAGGAGTCAGCAAAGACCTCACACGATGGATTGACTCAGTGACTGTAGCAATGGGGTCATGTGTGTCACAGACGTGAGGCTGGCTCAGGACAGGTCAAGGCCCAGAGCCGATGTTCATAGAGTCGTTATGAGTTATAGGCAACTTGACGGCACATAACAGCTATAACCACACATATTAGAATGGCTTTGCATAATCAAAGCACAAGTAAACCATTTCTGGTGTCTGCTTTCTGCCAAAGTTCATCTGACATCAGCAGTGATATTTCTTGTGCCAAGGCCTCTTCTGAATCCAGCTTGAATTTCTGGCAATTCTCTGTTGATGAAGCCATTTATAAAAATGTTCTTTAGCAAGATTTTACCTGTATGCGATATTAATGAGACTATATGATAATTTCTACTCCTCTGTTGGATTGCGTTCTTTCAGGACGGAATACCTATCTCTTCCAGTCAGTCAGCCAGGTTTTCTTTATTTGTTAGTGAAGACTGGTGAGCATGTGCGAGGTGTGTCTGTTTCCTGAAGCTCCTCAACTGGTATTCTATCAATTCCTAGGCCATTATCCCCCACCCCCATCCTTCAATGCAGCTTGGACTTCTTCCTTCAGCATTATCTTAA